TACACAGATAACTGTTAATACTTGAAGTAGCTACATAGTTAGGGCCAGTTTTCAGTACTGTGCCACCCACAAGACATAAAATCTTGCCTGGCTTGTTCATTCAAATAAATCCTTCTGAAGCTGTAAGCTCTGAGTGCCATCTAGGCCAATTCCTTGACAATTAAGCTGCTATACAGAAACAGTTTCCCTATCAGCACAAAACAACTATGTCTCATAAAACAAAATTTGATTTAGCATTTGTTTCCGCAAAAGACAGATACCTGTGTTGGAAGTCAGGTGAAACGGAAAAAGCAAAGTGAATTTGGAGGAAATACAGTGAAAGGCCGACTAAAGATTAAAAACAAAGAGGTAAAGTTGGCGAGATGGCTCAGATGGTAAAAGATTTTGCTACCAAGCCTGACAACTGGAATTGGATTCCCAGGAACCTTGTGGTAGAAGAATGGACTCTTGAAAGCTGTCCTCTGACCTCCATATATGCCCTCTATCCCCCCCATAAATAAATGAATCTTTAAATTGTACAAAGACAAGGATTTAGAATTATAACATGGCATTTATAGAGAAAAAAGCTGCTAGGGTAATTCCAATTTGTTTACTGGCAAAACACTCAGACACATAAACTGAAAATATATTTTTTTTTTGTCTTTTTGAGACAGGGTCTCCCTATAGCCCCAGCGGGCCTGGAACTCACTTGTAAACCAGGCTGGCCTTGAATTCACAGAGATCCACCTGCCTCTGCCTCCCAAGTGCTGGAATTAAATACATGTGCTACCACACCTAGTAAAATTTTAAAAATAAAAAAAAAATCTTATCACATATATGAGCACATGAAGTTAACGACCTTTTCCTTCTTCTGGACTCTGTATACTCACTTCTGTGACAGCCTATAATACAGTTCACATGTCTGACTTTCCAGCTAGACCAGGAGGCCTCTAGAAACTCCAAGTTATTCAGTAAAAACCTGTCACATCAAGCTGAAGTTTCAGGAGTAAGAGGCAAGTAAAAACCCTCCTGAATTCACACAAGAATGGGAAAGCTTTCTAGAGAGGTGGGGCTTGACAAGATTCAGGAGAAAAACAGGAAATGCACCTGCCACCAAGCCTAACAACCTGAGTTAGATTCCTGGGACTCACATGGTCCAGGGAGAAGGAGAGAACTTATTCCCTCAAGTTTTCCTCTACTCCCCCTCCCCAGAAAAAAAAAATGTAATAAAATAAAAATTTTAAAAGGAAGGAAGATAGGACCTAGCTAGGAAGAAGATAAAGAAACTCTAAGTGAGGGAGGGGCACCCAAGAGTAAAAGAAAGGCAAAAAGAACAAGAGAGAAGAGGCATCAATGAGTGCATGTTTGTTTACAGCAGACAAGCAAAAGGTGGAAAAGGTGGAAAAGGTTAACTCAAAGGAAAGCATCACTAGGGAAGAAACTAAGACAGAAGATCTAGTAAAAGAAGCTTCTGATGGGAAGTAGCAAAAAACATGCAAGGCAGAGTGCTTACAGCACACATTTTATCTCAATAAGGCTGCTATTCTTATTTACTTATTTTTATTTTTTTGGCACTATGTAGACCAGGGTGTCCTGGATCTTAGAGATCTGCCTTAGAGATCTTAGAGAGTCCCAAATGCTGGGACTAAAGGTGTGCGGCATCACACCCAGCTCTTTTTTTTAAAAAAAAATTTATTTATTTATTCATTTTTATTTTATGTGTATGAGTATATTGCCTGCATGTAGGTAGGTGCACCCGTCATGCAATGCCTGTGGAGGCCAGAAGAGGGTGTCGGATTTCCTGGAACTGCAGTTATGGACAGTTGTTAGCCGCCATGAGGGTACTCTGAATCAAACCCACGTCCTCTGCAAGAGCAGCCAGTGCTCTTAACCACTGAGCCATCTCTCCAGTCCCTATCTTTGTTTTCTTGAGACAGGATCTCACTATGTAGGCCTAGTTGGCCTCAAACTTTCCTATGTAGTCAAAGCTGTCTTGAAACTCCCCCTCCTCCCACTCCTAAGAGCTGGGATTACTAGCATGTGCCACCATATCTGGCTCAATCTATATTTTGTTTTTAAAATTGCTTTCTTCATTGTTCATTATTCTCACTGCCCCTCTCTGTTGGCTGTGGATTGAACCTAGAACCTACCTACCACTTTCTCTTTTTCCATGCAGCATTTCTTAAAATAAAAAAAAAATTTACAATAACCAAGGGCTGTGGATGCAGCTGAGTATGCGTCTTGTCTAGCATGTGTAAAGCCTGTGTTTAATCCCAAGTACTGGAAAATAAGTAACAACTGAAGTTAGGCAAGGTGATATATGCTGTAACCCCAGTATTTAGAAGCAATTGAGGCCAGCCTAGGCTACATAGCAAGGTCAAGGCCAGCCTGGGATATATAGCAAGATCTTGTCTCAAAAAATTAAATAATTCTAGTCTTAATTTCTCATAGACATAAAATACAGCAATAGTATTTGAAATGACAGGTAATCAGTGAAACAAACCTTTCTCACAGAATTTAGTCAGAAGTTTGATTCGGTTTTGGAATAGTACCACTGGCTATAACATGAACTTGAGGGTCCAGAATGACAGGAAACATTCAAGGGACAAATAGATTAGGATTTGGGAGCTTTCTGGATATACCCGGGTAAAGTAACTCAGTTTTTACTCTGATGCCTAAAAAAATAGTGATAATTTAAGAAACCTGAAAATCAAGAAACAATCCATCTAACAGTAAATACACTTGGGGCTTTAATAAATCAAGTAATTCAAAATGGACAGTGAGAACTGCAAACACAAATGTATAGCTAACAACTTTTCAGTCTCTGCTTGAACTTGAAGTCAGGGCTAAAATTATATATATAAATTATCATTGGCAAGGCTACAATCAAAGCTGGAGAACAGTTAAGTGTACAATAACAGAGCAAAGGGACTGAGAACAGTTAAAATAATAACATAGACCAAAGATGTATCAACAGTGAATGAGGGCCCAAGTTCAATCCCCAATAATACACACAAAAAAGATGCATCAGCAATGTCTGCCTGCATGCCTATGACTTCTAAGTGGAAAGCTAATCTGAAGGCCTTTTTCTGCAACAGGGCAAGAGTGATGTTCAATGCACAGAGTGGTCAAGCATGTTTGTAGACTATAAACATTGTGCAGGGATGCTGGGGCAGCAGAAAGTAGGAAGCTTTGTTCTAGAGCTAGTAACTCCTTCCTTAAAAGGACATAACAGCCAGGCTTGGTGCTGCATACCTGCCAGCACTTAGAAGGCTGAAGCATGAATTTCAGTCTAGAGAACATACAGAACTCCACCCAAAGTGCAGTACAGGGCCTGGAAGTGGTAGGTGTTTTACACTGTTTCCATCAGGGATTTGGGAACACACAAAGACTCCATCATATACATAAAGTGGAAGTAAGTATGGGAGCTTATGCAAATGACAAATAATCATTTCTTTTTTTAAAAAAAAATAATGCTTTAGTTTGTATGTGTATGATGCATATATGGGTGGGCTTGTGCATGCCAAGGCAGGCATATGGAGGACAGAGGATAAGGTTCAAGAGTAGATTCTGTCCTTCCATTATGAGGTTCCTAGGGATCCAACCCAGGCATACAGTTGGATGGCAAGCACCTTTACCTGCTGAGCCTTCTCACCAGCCCAATAAACATTTAATATTAATCAAAGACTTTCTGGCTGATTTCCTTTCTTCAAGTCATTGATCAAAAGTTTTAAAAAATTAGCATATATTGCTGGGCGTGGTCTCACACGCCTTTAGTCCCAGCACTCCTGAGGCAGAAGTTAGCAGATCTCTGAGAGCTCAAGGCCAGCCTGGTCTACATATATACGTATCTTTTGGGGACAGCGTTTCCCTGTAGCCCCAGCTGGCTTGGAACTCGCTATGTCGACCAGGCTGACCTCGAATTCAGAGATCTGGTTGCCTCTGCCTATCAAGCGCTGGGATTAAAGGCATGTGCAATCATGCCCGACCTCATTATATTTTCATACATGCATATAATGTATTTTGATCATATTAATCTCCTAGTACTTCTGCTGATCCCCTTCCTCTTCCCAGTCTGGTCCCCCTTCTAATTTCATGTCTTTTTATGTGTGTGTGATCTAATGAGTTTCATTAAAGTTGTTGAGTAGGTGAGGTGCAATTTACCAGTGCTCCACCACTTAAGAAAATGCCTGTCCTGGGCCAGCGGGATGGCTTAGTGGGTAAAAATGATTGCCGCCAGGGAGATCCGAGTTCGATCCCTAGAGAGTACAGAGTGCAGGAGAGAACGAACTCCCGAAAGTTGTTCGCAAGCTGTCCTCTGACCTCCAATCGTGTGCCTTGGCAGCACACACACACACACACACACAGACACACACACACACACACACACACACACACACACACACAAATAAATGAAATGAAAATTTAAAAACTAGGAAATGCCTCTCCCTGCCACAGCAACCATTAATTGCCTATACATCCTAGCGTGGAGGGTGCCTTGTGAACCCCGCCCCATATCCTATTTTGACAAGGACCTTGGCCTTGGGAGAGCTGTTCAAAGAATGAAAAACAATGCCCAGGACGGTTTAATCCTATTTCTGGACTCACTCTACGGGGGAAACACACTACTTATACCCTGGACCAAGCATGGCTCTTGATGCAAAAACAGACCTACTACTCGCCTCCTCGGCCCCTACCCTGGGCCTGTGGTCATCTGAGGGCTTGGACCCAGTCTCTTTAAACTTTCAAAGGCGCCGCCATCTTGACCACGCCCCCACCTGTCCGCCTCTTCCGCCCATTCCCGGAAGTAGCTGGAGGGCGGGACCTAGTCTGAGTCCACCAATGAGAATGCGCATTGGGCTCCGCCCTTCTGAGCGCGCTCCCAGGAAGGGTCGCAATCTGAGGAGAGGAGTCCTCGCCGCTTCCGAACCCGGGCCGCCGCGCCGGAGCGCGCTCAAGTCCTCCTCTGCACCTGGTGAGCTGTGCGTGCCGGCTCCCTACATGTGAGGCATTGTAAGGAACGCGGGGCGGCCGCGCTTGCGTCCTCGCCTCAAAGTCGGAGAGTCGCGTCACGTGACCTGGCTGCCTGGGTTTCTCTGCCTTCCCATCCTCTTCCTGCCTTTCTAGGCCAGGCCAGCCTCTAACTGCACTTAAGCTGTCATCCTTCTAGCTTTCCCTGGTCTCTCAGGTGGGTCCACCTCATTTTACTGAGGGACTACTAAAGTCAACGTAGTGAGGGAAGACTGCACTACTGTTTACTGAGTCCTATCTAATGAAGCCTACAGTACTTTTAATTTATTCTTTCAGCCCTCAGGTTAATTCTACAGGTAGTATTGCTGAGGAGAAAACTAAAAAGATGATATGGTAGGGCATGCGCTGGATTTAGACTCTTAGATTATTTGGTACAGGATCCAAGGAACTCTCCATTCTACCATACTTGTGCTTAAGAAATTTGGTCTAAGGCTGGAGAGATGGCTCAGTGGTTAAGAGCACTGACCTCTCTTGTAGAGGACCTGGGTTTCGATTCCTAGCACCCACATGGTGGCTAATTACCGTCCATAACTCCAGTTCCAGGGAATTCAACATCCTCTTCTGACCTCCGAGGGCATTGCATGCATAGGTGTACTTACATACATCCAGGCAATACACACATATACATAAAATAAAAAATAATAAAATATTTTAAATAAAAGAAATTTGGTCAAGGCTTTTAAAGAATGCACTGTGTATTTAGAAAGAGAAAGTACAGTAATTAATGGACTCAATTCGCACAAGTTGCCTTATAAACATCACCTCTGTTTTTAAAGGATTACTAAATAACCTTCCCGTGGTCCCATCCAATGAGGCAGGGATAGGTCTCTAGTCAAAGTTTATTTTCAAAGCCGTTTTCCCCCTTAAGTTATTCTGCTTCCAAAGCAAGCAAGGTTTGTAAAGAAGTATTTACATCCCTCTTGTGACTTCTTCATTGTCATTATGATAAAAGTTTTAAACTCCTTAACCCAGCCTGCAAAGCTTTGCTGTGTTCAGACCTTTATTCATTTTGCCTGTTTTCTTGTTTAGATATTTCCTCCAGTCACTGAAGTGTTTTACTGTTTATAGTACTAGGGATCAAATTCTATGGCCTCACCCATGTTGGACATTTGCTTTACTAGGGAGTTTCACCTTCAGCCCAGTTACTGAACTTTTAATTCCTCTCATGTATGCAATACTGTCTTCTACTCCAGAACAGTCTTCCTATATCTGGCTAACCCCTATTCATCCTTGAGTTTTACCCTAGAAGTCACTTCCTCCAGGAAGTCTTCCTGCTTATTCCTGCCATTGTGTTCCCACTTCTAGCTTTCTGTACATACTGTTTAAACTGCCTTTTTACTTGCCTAAACTATAAACTCTGTGAGGGCAGGAACTGTCTCAAGCTTGGGCATGCTGTATAGTCTAACATATTCAGTAATCACCTGTTAAGTGAATGAGACAAAGAGGCATTTAACATGCCCCTCTGTCTCCTTGATGGCCCATCATAGTGAAGCCTGTGCAAAGGCTAAAGTTGTTTCTCTTCAATCCTTGCTTAAGTTCCTCCTCTCTGCATCTTGCTGGGTGCTGCAAAGCAGATGATCTTGGGGAAACAGTCTGGGCAAATACACCTCCCATTTGGGTGTTGTTGACTAAGTAGTCTCATACCCACAGACTCATCTTTTTCCCTGGCCTCTGTATGCTTTGTGCTTTAGCCACACTGAACTCTTTCCTTCCTTCCTATGTGTCAAAATCTACCCATATTTGGGTTCCCTTCCAAGTGTTAAACTTTGATCTTCTGGTATGGAATGAAACCACGGAGAAAAGAAGTTTCACTCTTTTGAGGTAGATCAGTAATGGCTCTGATCTCCAAAAAGATGACATGTCACCTAATTCACATTCCAGTAGCAAAATCCATTAAACTTACTCAGGTACTTTTATCTCCTCATATCAGTTCAAACCATTTTGCCGGCTTGCTCTCTACCAGGCCAAGGGCTGGGGAGCACTAAGGTACAGCAGGCCCAGTATCTGTCCTTAAAAAGCTTACACTCTCCTAAGGGAGACAGACATATAAGCAGACCATACAGTGCAGTTTGGACTGTGTGATTTATGATACAGGAAGACTGTGTTTGATCATATCTGTACTTTAACTTGTCTATGTTGATATTCTAGACTCCTCAATATGTCAACCTCAGTCCCTCAAGGGCATAACTGGACCCGACAGATGAAGAAGGATGATGAAGAAGAAGACCCACTGGACCAGCTGATCACCCGCTCTGGCTGTGCTGCCTCCCACTTAGCAGTACAAGAGTGCATGGCCCAGCACCAGGACTGGAGGCGGTGCCAGCCCCAAGTGCAGGCTTTCAGGGATTGCATGAGTGCACAGCAGAATAAACGGCGGGAGGAACTGCAGAGGAGGAAAGAACAAGCCACTGCTCAGCACTGAGACCCTAAACACCCATTCCCATAGGCTAGCCCCAAAGAAATCAGCACCCAGAGAGACCCTGGGAAGAAGGAATCCCACGTGGTAGAAGTGGGGCTGGGAGGGGTCAAGCTTGGGGATAGTGTTTGGGTGTAGGGTTGAGAGCAGACACAACGAGCTTAATGGTCTGACCCCACACATCCTCACCTTTCTTGTTCCACCAATATTTTTATTTAAAATGAAGAACAGGACATTGGACACTCTCCACCCTGCCACCTCTTGAGTCAGTGTGCCAAGTACTGAGATGATACCAGGACATTTTGACTTTATGAGTAAATTCACAACCTAAAGGTAAATTGGTTACATAATAAGGCTTTCATTTTTCAGTCACAAATTCAGCAACAAAAAGTGTTTCTGAGGCATTGAGTTGGTAATGCGTGATGTGATGGGTGATGTGATCTCTGCCTTCATGGTGCTCAGAAGCTAGTGTGAGAGACGGAAATAAATGAACACTGGGACACATAGCTCAGTTTCCAACTGATGTAAGTGCCTTTATTTTTCATCACTTTTACTGAATGTTTTATTCAGTTTAAGGGGAAAAAGTTAACAGGGAACTTTTCTTTTTTTAAAAAATACTGTATTTTATGCTTGTGTGTGTAAGTATACCTGTGCCCTGCAGTGCTCACAGAGGTCAGAAGAGGGCATCAGATCCCCTGGACCCAGAGTTATGGACAGTTGTTAGCCACTGTGGGTCCTCTGCTAGAGCAGCCAGTGCTCTTAACCACTGATCCAGCCCCCGTTCTTTTCTTTTTTAAGACAGAATGTAGTCCAGGCTGACCTCACTTGCTGTGTAGCCTTAAACTCATGAGGTTTCTGCCTCCTCTCCCATAGGATCATAGGCATGCGCCACTATGCCTCTGAGAAACTTTTTCAACCATGAGTACCTCTTATATGCCAGACTCTGTTGACTTAACAGATTCAGAGTTTGCCTAACCTAAACAACATACAAAGCTGGCCTGACATGCTAAAAGTATGTTTAATATTAAAATACAGACTTTGGCCTTTTGAAAAATGGAGGTGCTGTCAACATAGAGTTTATATTCCTACTTGAGGACAATTTGCCTGAGCTGATCATGTGTCCTCTGGGGGCAGGGATTGTGTCTTGTTCATAATAATTGCAGTTACTTCTTTCTTCGATGAAACCACCTAGTCTACTCCTGTGTTCCCCAGGAAGCCATTTGAGAACCGGAAGATGGTTGGGAGGCAACCATAGAGAGTGGAGTACTTGTCATTACTGAGAAACATTTCTTGGGCATCTACATTTTAGCAGTCCAAATCCGAAGTGTGGTAGACTCTAAAATCTACTTTGAGCCTTATATACTGATATTTTAGGGAAGAGGGACAGAAAGTAGAGAAAGTATGAGAACTTTAACGAACAACAAAAGCCTATTTCAAGCTGAAGACCAGGTGAACAGTATAGTTGCATCTCAGCAACTTACTCTGCTATGAGTCCTCAGGCAGGGAGCAGTGTGCACTACAGCTGTTGACAGGAATCTCAAAGAAGAGAAAGGAGGTGGTTGAGTTGAATCAAAAAATGAAGTATATGTTTGTAACAGAAAAATTACATCTGGAATAAATGAAAACTACCTAGAAGTCAGTAAAAAAAAAGCACATAGAAAAGTGAACACTGGGGGTTGGAGAGATAGCACAGTGGTTAAGAGCACCAGCTGCTCTTGCAGAGGACCTGGTATTTAGTTCCCAGCACCCACATAGTGATTAACAACCATGAATAACTCCAGTTCCAGGGGATTCAATGCCCTCTTCTGACCTCTGTGGGCATTGCACTATGTGAGTGAGTGTACACACATACATGGAGACAAAATACTTATAAAATAAAAAAAAAGAAAGTGAACCCTATGGCTGGGAATGGAGACCCATGCCTACCTATAATTCCAGCATTTGGGAGGCTGAGGCAGGAAGATCACCCATAAATTTGAGGCCAGCCTGGGACTATCTCAAAAAAATGAACAAATATGTTTAGATCATAGGAAAATGTAAATATGCACTATATCACAAATAATTAGAAAAATGCAGGCTTTAAACACAAAGTATTAGCCAATTTTGCTGATAAAAAAGTATCGAAGTGACCAGCATTGGTGGAGACAGGGAGAGAGAGTCAATGTCAGTGAAGAGATCACAATAAATTTTTGGAGGGCAATTTGGTAGCATTTTTATATAAACAGTTTAAATATGTAAAGCTAGGTGCAGTGGTACATGCCTATAATCCCAACATTCCAAGTGGCTGAGGCAGGAGGATTACCTCAAATTTGAGGCCAGACTGGGCTACCATATGAGTTCCAAGCTAGCCACATCTACAGTGTGAGACCCTTCTGAAGAAAAAAAAAATACAAAAAGTGAGAATATACAAACCCACATTTTTAGAGATTCTCTCGTAAGTACATTTTTATGATGCACATGCTACAGCACTGTCAACAATCACAATGTAAATTCCCATCAATAAAGACCATAATTGGTTATGTATTCAAATGTAGCAGGAATGTGTCTACATGAAAGTGCTCCCTGACTTCATGATGGGGCTGTGTCCCAATAAACTCCATCAAGTAGAGATACCTTTAAGTAGAAGTTGTACTGAGGGGAGGGGTCCTGACTGAGGGAGTAGAGAGGAGAGTAAAGGAGTAGGGGGGAGGGGGTAAAATTGAAGCATGATGTAAGCATGTATGCACATATCACAGTGGAATCCATTACTCCACGATTAAGGCAATTGGACATTAGCTATTTTAAAAATGTGTGTGGTACATGCCTGTAGTCCCAGAACTCAGGAAGCAGAGGTAAGTGGATCTCTGTGAGTTCAAGGCCAGCCTAGTCTCCAGACTAGCTGGAGCTATGTAGTGAGACCCTGTTTAAAAAAAAACAACAAAATGCACCTAAGGAAACATCTGAGCATGGTAGCACGTGCCTATAGACCCAGCTGCTTAGGAGGCTGAGGGAGGAGAATCCCAAGTTAGAGGACAGCCTGTGTAACATGCCAAGACTTTTTGTCAACATAATGATAATAAAGTCCTTGAGGGCTGGAATGTGGCTTGATGGCAGAGTGCAGCCTGGCATGTGTGATGCCCTAGGTTTGCCCCCCAGCACTGCCATAAAATAAAAAACACGGGAGTGGTGTTTGTTCACATCTGTAATCCCAGAACTTAGGAAGCTGAAGCAGTAGGATGCTGTGAGTTAAAGGACAGCCTGGACTACGTAGTGCGTTCCAGGCCACCATGGGCTGCAGACAGAGACTGGGTCTGAGAAAGCAAATTATTTAATACACCTAACCTATGAACAAGCAATAGCTTAGTGCAGTATGCTGTAGAGTGTCAGTTGTTTACGTTTGCTATCACATAGCTGACTCGGAGCTGGAATTTGCTGCCACTGTGCAGCATCATAAGGACTGTACCAATATTGCTAACCTGGAAAGAGATCAAAGTTCAGAAGCTCATGTATGCTGGGATGTAGCTCAGGGCTAGAGTTTGCTTGGCAGGCACAAGGCCTAAGTTGAATCATCAGCCCTGCAAAATTTTTTTTTCAAATATATGGTTTCTACTTTTGTTCACTGTAAAGTAGGAATATCATTAAATGGAACCATCATATGTAAGAATCATCTTATCAGTTTGTATAAAAACAGGCCATGGAAGCAACCATGTGATGGTACCAGCAGAGAGAGCACCCTTAGGTGGGATTGCTTCCATTCTGGCTAGAAGAATGGGCAAAGTTTGGAGGACTCTAGCCCTAACAGTGATGTGTTTGTCAGCTCTACATTACTACAACTAAGTACTTGAGATCATCAGCTTAAAAAGAGGAAAGGTATATACTTTGCCTCAGTTTTGGAGGTTTCAGTTCATGGCCTGTTTGCCCCATTGCTTTTGGGTCTCTGGCAAGGCAGCACATTATGATGGGAGCATGTGGTAGCCTCAGCCAGTTCACTTCATGGCTGGGAATGAAAAGAGAGACAGAAGAGGATCCAGAATTCCAAAATCCCCTTCAGGGCAAACACCCTCTCCCCAAGACATCCCATGAGATCCTACCTCTTAAGGTTTATGTCACAGTCTGGAGAAGCTGACCTTTAACACTAGGCCTTTGGATGGGCCACTGAATAGATTTGATTGGGAAAACAGGACTGTTAGCTCAGAAGCCTATTTCTTCAACCAAGTGAATATATTTCCTATTCCCTAGTCCTACTAAGAGAACTGGATAAGGGCAAGTTGGGGTATAGTTTAGTGGTAGAAGATTTACCTCACATAGAGGAGGCCTTGAGTTCAATCCCCAGCACTGAAAAAGGAAGAAATAAAATTAGAGTGACCATAAACAGGTAACAGAGTTACTGCCATTATTGAATGATTATGTCTAATATTTGAGTATTTAGCTCAGACAAGATCCAGTTCCAGAGTCTGTGCTCTCAATCTCTATGATGAACTGCCTTCAAACCCCAGTTATGCCCAGTTATCTCCAGTCATCACAGCTGTGTGATTCTAAGCATGTTAGTTAACATCTTAAACCTGTTTTCTCTTCCATAAAAATGTATATATAGAAGCTGGGGAGATGGCTCAGTCAGTAAAGAGCTTGCTGTATAAGCATGAGGACCTGAGTTCATGTAAAAGCTGGGTGCCTCAGTACATCTGTAACCCCTGTGCTGGAGAGCAGAGACAGGCAGATCCCTGGAGCTCACCAGCCAGCCAGTCTAGACAAATTGGTAAGCTCTAGATTCAGTGAGAGACTGTCTCTCAAAAAATAAGGTTGAGAGCAAATAAGAAAGACACGTGACATCAACCTCTGGTATGCACCTGCACTTTTGTGTGTGTGTGTGTGTGTGTGTGTGTGTGTGTGTGTGTGTGTGTCTCCGTCTCCTAAGATTGCTGAAAGAATGAGGTAGTATTGGTAAGGAGCTTGGAAACAGCATCTGGTCTCATCACTGTGCTCATGACTGTCCTGCCTTATGTTATCTAATCTAATTCTCATAGTAGCACTTTATTGGGAAGGAAATAAAGGTCAGACTGAGGATGGACTTCATACCTATTTTTCTCTAAAGTATGGGATGCCCTCTGCTCTGTGTTCTCATGTAAGCACCCAGTGCCCAATTCAGTGTTTCATACATAGTGAACAGCCACGTCACATTAACTGTGAAAATCTCACTCCTGCCAGCCCTTTTCAGAAGGAAATTAGTCAGTAAAAGCCACTTGTAGTGATCTGGATTGGAATGTTTTTCTTTAGTCTTTCAGTTCTGTAATCCACAGAAGTGAGTTGGAGTTAAAGGTGGTCCATGTCTGTCCCTCTAAGATCTACACCTACCTCTAGCAGCTTTGGGTCACCCCTGCAGAGAGGCATGGGTTGGAGAGACTGAAACCAGCACTTAGAAGCTGCTTCCACTAAACAAGTATTGATTTCTCACTTGGACCTCAAGGTAACTAAAGGCAGGATGAAATGCTGGCATGTCTGCCTTCATTTTGTCTGTCTCCTCTGGGTTACACTCCTGCTCAACTG